TTAACTTTAAACTTACCAAGTGGCTCATTTGAGCTTGTTGGACTAAAATACTATATTACGACATGAGTTTTCATCTTAAAATGTCAATCTTGTTAAGAGTAGCAGCCCAAATTCTTTTATGTTGATTTTATATTCATATTTATTAGATGTGAGATTTATTTCTTAACAATAATTCAAGTAGAGATGTCAAATTGGGCTGACCGCTTACTCCTAGACTAAATGGGTATGGCCCAGAGCGGTGCCTGAATGTTGTGTTTACACATGAATTAGAATTTACCTTTTGGAAGATGAAAAATACAAGACCTGGTTAGGTGAAACCAATCTTATTAGGATACAAGGGTCATCGGAATTTATTTAGTGGAATAAAAGAATGTGATAGGTTGAGTGGCAAATTCCCTCACCAAGATAGTTCAATCTTTGCAAGGTTTGAGTGACATTTTTCATGGAAGAATTGGGAGTGAAGGAATACTCTCATGGACCCGGGCTTTCTTGTTGTGGGCTTAATTTATTGAGTTCGACGACTCATTAGGTTGCGTCGGTCATGATCATCAACAATTCTTTTCAACAACTTTACTTTTATTTTGCAAGAAAATTTTTCTAAGGTCGTATTTAAGTACTCAAAAGATATTACAGAGTAGATAGAGAAAAGAAAGAACTATCCATAATTCTTGAGTCCAATTTTATATGATTCTAAATCATGAAAGCATATTCTAATCATATCCAAAACATATTTCTCAGAGAAATTGATTAATATTCACTTGGACTTGGACTTTCTTGTATTGGCTTTATTCATTTGAGTTGAATCTCTTGGTTTTGTGTGGCGCTGATCTTCAAGAGTTTGCTGACAATCATTAATTTCATTGTCGCAGAAATCCATCGAGAAATCATTTATTGCATTGTTACTTCAGAAAGTGCACACGGCGTCCTTAAAACTAAAATATGACTCGCCTTTGAAGATTTGGTTACAGACTATAACCTTTCTTTGTTTCCAGTACAAACCCAGACTGTTGTTTCGAGATTCTATATCCATGTAGTGAATTAGAGAGAGGAAAAATAAGAAGGAAAAAACAGCAGTGAAAAATCTACTTTTGATCAGCCGTACTCCTATTGGATTGATTTTGAATCAAAGTTTTAAGATAGCTTCATCATTATGCTACAGTACGTTTCATCGCTAAATATTTGCTGTCGAAATCCTCAAATTTTATATAAGTAGTTTTTCTAGTTTACTTTTCAACTTTCAAGAATGTACAAGAACTCAAAATTTATTTTGCATAGAATAATGATGTCTATTGTGCTAAACCTTGTAAATTAAACAGCTTGGTTTAATGGTTTTGGCCATTGTCCAGTTAATATAAAAATATGAAAGAAACTGCATTTGGGACACAGATATGAATGTTAATATGGACGCAAATGTTACTAACTTTAATCAAATTCAGATCGAGATATTAGCAAATCATGCCTAGCCCGGCCATTGACAACCTCCAAATTATTTGCTGTCTTTGGACTATTCACCTCCTTGTAAACCGTTGTAAACAAAGGATAAAGACTATCTTTCTCCTAGTTATATCTAATAAGTATTTATATGGATGAGGCTGCGTTCTCAGGTGGGAATATGAGAAAAGCTGCATGTCACACTCCGGCTATGACACACTAACTCACAAATGCAGTCGACACTTTTGCAAGTCTGTGAGTTGCAACTTCTAATTAATTAAGGAATAGATGTTGCTTCCCACCATATTCGTAATGTTTTATATTTCAATTTCTTCATTATCTTGAATGGAACTTTTTAAAATCCTTTTCAATTAGAATGACATTTTCAAGAATGTTTTATTTTTATATTTATTGCTAAGTAGAT